GACAGCTCCCGTAAGGTGTAGGTAAGTCGTGCCTCGGGTAGGCCCTATCCTATCGTAGGGGCTCGCGAGAGGTATGGCTGGCGCACCCGGCCGGAGCGGCTTGTGGAAGCTTCATGTATATTGCGACGAAGGGTTCTAAAAACCAACTCCTGCGTGACGCGGCCGGGAGGGTCCCACGCTGCCCCCGCGCGGCGCCGGACCGATGCGCCCGACAACGTGGGCGACGACGATGGCTCCAGTGGCGATGATCACGGCGATGGAGGAGATAGGCCACGACCTGCACATGGTGACACGATGCGCGCCGACGGGGCAGGGGGCGAGCACCGCACAACAGTAGATGACGCTCGAGATGGAGTGCATGATGATGGTTCACGACCTGTCTCGGGCGGTGACCTGAGGCGCTTGAAACGCGGACCAAGGGAAAAAGACACTATCGCTTCACGTGTGCGCAAACGTCATGGTGGGGTTGCTAGCATTCCACTATCACGAGTCCCCGCAACTGGGCAGATTCCAGTTTTTGAGGACTCTTTCAGCAATCACGGCGGCGAGGAGCGGATCGAGCTGCRTGGCGGGAGCGGTCATCCACGAGGTGACACTTCGAGTATGCACGTGACAGCTCCGATGGGGCCTTCCGCAGYAGTCCCAGAATCGCAACAGGGTCCAGCACCGTTGATGCGTCATCCCGAGGTTCAGGGAGAGATCAGTCCTCTCCCAGCAGTGCGGGACGAGGGTTCTGTCGGTGCACTGCATCCACTCACGTCTGCCGGAGCGGCAGTCTCAGTTGCAGCGACCTCGGATGTGGGACAACCACTGGCAGCGGCGGAGCAARAAAGTATGCTCCCACCTCGCASTGTTCAACCGCGGCCACCGCCTGCATTGATGGAGGGGAGTCAGGGGACCGTTGTTGTGTGTCAAGGCGACGATCTCCGGGAACGTGATATCTCACACACTCCCGCAGCCGAGCAGAGCGTCGCAGACCATGTCGGCCTCGCATGCCCCACCGGCAGTCTTCCGGGTACCGGCGAGTTACTGACCATGGACTCTACGTTCGTTTCTCTACCGGACTTGTCGACGTTGATATCCCCAGGTCTACCCCATGTGTCACCGCCCAAGCCACAACAGCCTGTTGTCATSGAGCGTGGATCGGAYGGGTTTGACGTGGCAGGAGGCGATATCGCCRATATGATTACGAGCCCAATGGTRTCTGCCACGCCCACAATTTTTCGTGTTGGCAAACTACGYGAGGTGGCCCTTGGTTTGGCGGAGACRGCGACGCGACACCGCCGCGACRGTCAGCGCARCATCGCACAACGCAGTCTTTCTCATTCGTTTGACGGCGCAGAGGAAGGGTCTCCTGGTGGGCCAGTTGACACACTYGAAAGAGAAGCAAGACCCCCAAGTTCGCCGTCAAACTCAGAGCATCATCCGATTGCCGCGGTTGTCGGTGCAGATGCGGGCGTCCCCGTCACAAACAGTGGCGCGGACGCGACAGAACAACTTGTGGTTGGGTCATCGGCGACAACACGGCGCGACAGAGCCACTGTTTTGCCGACAGTGGCATTCTATGCCAGCGGGAAGAGTACTGGGGGGATGGATGAGCAGGGAGTCCGGAATGTTGGCAGGCCATCTGCACCGTCTATGGGGAAACGATCCATTGGGAGTGTGGATGGTGCTCGGCACACCGCCATGGCAGAGTTTGAGGACCGACACGGGAGTGCTTTGCCGACGAAGACGTCTGATGTCCATGCTACGAAAGCCGCAAAGGCGAGTCTTTCTCGGGCAAGGAAGAAGGTCTCGGCAAGGAAGGCGTCACGTTCATCCTCACATATGCGTCCCCGACAGAGAGGATCGGGCGTTGTGCATCTCGAGGACGGAGAGATTGCACCTGACGGCGACGCATTGGATGTTGGAGGGAGGGATGCAACGACGGCGGATATCGTCGGCAGGGAGGGCACAGGGAATGCAGTGGCAGGTCAGAAGAGACGCGGCAGTGTACTTATCGTCCACGACGRCAGCACAGATGTCGCCYCGGGAGAGACCACAGGCACTGATGATGCAGGGGACGCCGATTACGTACCCAAACCACGGGCGGCAGATGGAGATGATGGAGGAGGGCGACGAGTGAGACCGAGGACACGACTCGGGCAGCAAGGGCAGCGAGCACAGGGCACACCATCGGCGATGATTCCTGCCCCCATAGATCGGCGAGCTCAGGCGCAGCGGTTGCTGCGCAAAATGGAGGCCACTCTTCAGCAGACGCACGGGTTATCGCTTGGCCTCGAAGAGACGGAGACTCAGAGACAAGGAGAGAGGGGGGGAGAGAGAGAGAGAGAGACATAGAGAGAGAGAGAGAGAGAGAGAGAGAGAGAGAGAGGGAGAGAGAGAGAAATATTTATCAGATACTTGCGCTGGCTGCGTTGTTCGAGAAGCAGGCGCGGGCTTTCACTAGGACGGGAGGCCATATGGCCTAGGCCCGTAGCATGAGAGCCTATAGCCGGGCAGGCAGAGGCGGTTAGAAAATTGCTTCACTTCAGCTTGTTATACTTTTATTTTGTTACCCTCACAACCTCGGATCTTCACAGCCTCGTAGCCTCGTAGCCTCGTAGGTATCTTATTGTGATTGGTTGTTGCCACTTGTTTGAACTCTTTGGAGTCTTGGGAGTATTGTCTGAGAGAGAGAGAGATTTATCAGATACTTGCGCTGGCTGCGTTGTTCGAGAAGCAGGCCCGGGCTATCACTAGGATGGGAGGCCATATGGCCTAGGCCCGTAGCATGAGAGCCTATAGCCGGGCAGGCAGAGGCCGTTCAGAAAATTGCTTCACTTCAGCTTGTTGTACTTTTATTTTGTTACCCTCGCAAACTCGCATCCTCGCATCCTCGTAGCCTCGTAGCCTCGCAGAGTCGCAGGTATCTTAT